TTACGCCTCACTGCAAACACTCCTTTCATGACACGGAATTCACCGGTCATGCCCTTCCAGGGTGCTTCATTCGTGCACGTAAGGTTATTACGCTGCACAAGACGTGTAACCAGCGTAAAAGATATTGTAACCAGCGTAAAAGAACCGGCAAGAACAAACTTAATGTAATCCACTAGCATTTAATCGCTCCCGCTATACTAAATATTATACGCTTTTTCGGGGTGACGAAATCATAGAGGGTTCGTATTTCGTATTCATTATGATCATCATCATCATCATCGTCATCATCATCATCAGCAGCAGCAGCAGTAGCAGCCTGACTGTGCCCACAGCATGGCAAAGTCCTCTCCCGTGTTCCGCCAGTCAACCCGGTCCTGTGCTTTCACCCATCTCTAAAGACACTAAGCTGTGCTCCCACGACGGAGAGAGAAAATAGCGTCCTTTTATTTCCTTTTTCTTTCTCAAATCTCTCTGTCTGCAAGGTTACACCTGTATTACTGGCACGTTACTACGCGTTAGCGCTGTGTAAACAAGAGGGGCGAACGCCTTGCCCAAACTCGCATCGCGTCGGGAACCCGTCAAAATCTCACGCGCAAGTGAGAGCGGTGCCACTTTATCGTTCCCACAATGTCCAGATGACCCGATCACGTGAAGACGACGTTACGGATGAGCTTCCATGTTTGCACAGGGCTCGAAGATCCCTTCGATCGAAAGTCAACAATGGCGGCTCACTCCAACATCGAGGCCGGAAAAGCCACTCCGTGAACGTCGCTCCTGGTGCGTTACTTCGTATACGAGCCTCGCTTGACGCTCTCACTCTCTCATCTTCTCATACCCGTCATCATCCACTCCGTGCAATGCACCTGCCTGCAAGCATTCGAGGCATCGGGTTCGGCGGCCGCTGCCGTTGTTAGAAGGCTTCGGTTATGTGTGCCGCGGTGCTGCTCCTCGACTTGGGAAGCACTTGCCGAGAAGCACAATGGGCCCCCGTCCACTTATCGCGCTCGGCGCGGAGGGCAAGGTTGTTATCCCGCTGCGCGCTTCTTATTCGCCTCCTTCTTCGGAAGACAAATAGAGCAAGCTGCCGGCGCCGGCCGCACGGTCGGCAGAAGGTTTTTCTTGCGAGTCCGTGCAGCCCCCTTAACGGGAATTCGCTCCACTTTGACCGCGAAGAGCGTGCCTGGAAAAGCAACTCGAACGCTTGTCGGGCGATGCGCGTGTGGGATTCCGCGCGGAGCGGCCGTAGCGCAGTTTTCACGTGCGCTCATTCCTCCCCAAATTAAAGGCGTGCCGAAACGCCTCCTTTTGGTTTGAAGCTGGAAATTTCTTTTTGCCTCACGGGCTCGTGCTGCCAACGCGTTGAGGCATTAATTTTAATCCCAAGTAATATGCGTTCAGCGTGCAGAGCGATCGTGAGTGCATGCGGGTTTGAATAAAGGGTGCATCAAGTCCTGATAACTACCTGGGCGTTTACCTGTTGTGCGCAACACGTGCTTAGAGGAAAACCATTCTCAGCGTATGCATGTCCTCTTAACTACAGCGAAGTGGCTCACCTAATTGTAAAATTAAAAGTTCCGTCCCAGAGATTTTGAGGCCCGTCTTATAATTAGGCCAATTTGATGCCGTGAAGTTCTTTGGCGTGCACTGAGTGTGCAGTATATGCCGTATGTTGCACATCCCACTTCCATAGAAATACGAGTATTGAAACGAGGATCGAACGCGTGACCTCGTACTCAACAGAGTCCACTCCGTAGATGTCCATAGCACATGCGCTAGGTCTTGTTAGAGGTTGCCAGTTTAACCGTCGTTCTTATGAAATGTACTTCAGTTGGGATCGCAGCATGGGGTCAAAGGGCGCTGTCAAATAGACAGCACGACGCCGCCATACAAAAAGTACTTTGCCGTTACATACCAAGGACGTTTCTTGATGTCAAAGGCAAGGAAGGAAAGCCCAGCATCCTCGATCTTAGTTTTATACCGTATAGAAGAAAGAAGGCGAATCATGTAAAAAGGAAATGACTGCAGTAGGCCACGTGCACTGCACTAAGTAGCGCAGAGCGATGCATGGTATGTGCCCTTTGTTTAATGCTGCTTGAATCGAAAGCTGCAAGTGGGCATGCGCTACCACGCTGCAGTATCTGTACCACTCTAATAGATGGTTCAAGTTATACAGAAGTTCAGTAGAAAGTAGATGCCCGAAGCCATGAGAAATCGTCGAAGATGGAATGTCACTAGGGCCAACGTTCGGACAAGGCGACGACGAAGACAAGTTCTATTTTAAGAACGTTCACTCCTGCGTCACTGCCTGCTCGACGAATTCTAGTCGCTATTAGGAGACAGAACGTGGTGCCGCCTTGCTCAACCCGTGCGCATTGTGCTCTGTTTTCCCTAACGAAGAGACACTCGACATGCAGATTTTGAAGTTACAAAACAGCGTAACAAAAGCCACACCTACATTGAACGTTAACTGTTGCTGGGGTTAGGAACGCTCGAAAGAGAAGACATTTAAACGGCCCCTACGCTTGTCACTGAGTGCCACTTGGACCATGGTTGGTTCTGAATGCACTGAAATGTGTGGTCGATGCCGCTTGGCGATCGCTCTTATTTTAAAGTGGTCCCACGGCAGTCTTCGAGGCGACGTTAAGTAGATTAAGCTGTACTTAATAGTTACAACATCTTTCACTTTTTTGTTTGCTCTGGTATACGTCGACTCTCGTTTTTGTGGGTAGTGAAGTAGGTCAGTTCACGCAAACGCTACTGACCTCCAGTATTTTCAAGGAGCTCTCTTTGCTGGACTTACGTGCAAGAGATGTCAGACAAACATGATGTCGTGGCATGTCATCATGGGAACTGACTGGTCAGTGGCAAACGCTGTTGCACGCTTTGAGAATTCCAGCTGCGGCACGGCTAGCCATATGGCACGCTATCCAATAACGCATAACATGCGGACATCAGGCACGCAGCCTGCCAGTGGGGGTGGCATGCCCTGCCTCCCCTTCCGGAAATGTTGATGCAGGCACGTGTTTTACCAAAGATATGTAGTGAAAACATGATATTTTCACTAGTAGTCGAGATATTCAGCAAGTGGTCCCACCCCGAAAAAATATCCCTGGCTACGGGCCTAATGGACGTACTGTCATCTGTACTATAAGTGACCCCAAAAAACGGCATGATCTGTACTTGCGAAACTATGCACTTCACTTACCATCTGCACCTCCGCTTTCACACACAGTTCTCGAGAAACATCGATATCAAAAGAAGTGAGCATATATGCTGTGACGTTACTGAATGTACGAGCGGTACACTGGCTGGCCCATCTGTACATGTTCCACTCGAGTCTGACAGCAGTGCATTCGTAACTACGTGTACGATTGGACAGCCAGAACAGCAGCGCAATAATGTTGATTATGATACAAGCATTAGGCATTGTCAACATTTATGCCGGTCTTCTTCGCAACTACGTGTATTGGTCGTCTGAGATGAGCATGATATGATATGAAATGGTATGGTATCATAGATGGTGATGAGAAGAACTGGAAGAACACTCGACTAAAATTTGATATATGATTTCTTCAAGGAGGAGCAAAGTCTAATTCAGTGTAACATCAAAGCACATTGCCTAAGGAGGGAAGGAAAGGGAATAATATATAACATGGTTTGTTTCATTTGGGCCCTTGTTAAAATGCAATATGCATGCAGTAATGCCGCTGCTAGTGAGAACAGACAACTCGTCCATCAAACGGCGATGTTGCGCTCCCATTATTTGCGTAAGGAAAAAAAAAACGCTTGCCTTCTCGATGTATCGATGACCATCTAAGCGGGGACGACGTACTCGCACACACAAACAAACCCAGTGGGACGTCTTTCTTTAGAGGCGTACTAGTATGTACACACTTCATCGGTGCACGAATTCCGAATTAATGGGGACTGCTCTGGTGGTGCACTAACATCTTGTCGTGTGGGCAGCTGAAATATATCGAGCGCATTTTACCCTTATTGCTTACCTACTTTTACAGTGATCACTTGCATACCGGTAGCCTTACAGTATTTGCATAAAGAACGGTTTCTGTCGAAAGAGAAGTAATACTTGCAAGTTCTTCACGTGGGTATACATGCATTTGCAAGATGTGTGTAAACCCTGCTACGCTCTAAGTGCACTGCTCCTCTGTCCGGGAAGTGATCGATATTGCGTTAAAAAGACACGGGAAAGGCAAAAAAAATGTACGAATAATAATCATACAAACAGTTGCCAGTCAATGGCAGATAGTGAAGGCTCAGAAAAATGACAAAAACAGAGACTAATGCGTATAATACTGATTGATTGATTGATTGATTGATTGATTGATTGATTGACTGATTGGTTGATTGCTTGATTGATTGATTGATTGATTGATTGATTGATTGATTGATTGATTGATTGATTGATTGATTGATTGATTGATTGTATTCTACAGACCGAAAATCTTGCATGATATTGCGCGTACTAAGAAATATATTACACGGTGACTATGAGTGTGCGAACGTGACCTGCATTCAACGGAGAAGCTTGGCGACTCCGAAAACTATCCCCAAGTTCTCCTTAAGAGGAATGTGTATTCAGAGAATACTTCAGGCGCGTCTTTCTGCTTGTTGAGCTCAGTCCTCCCACGCATGCGCAAACGAGCGAGTAAAGCGGCTGATTTCACGTCCCCGTTTTGTTCCTGGAGTCGTAGAATCGGTCTGTTCCTGTCTGTGAACACGTACGAAGAAATGTCAGTGCTGCTGGTTGCGTGGTGGCACAGTGTCTCACGACTTACGTAGCACGTGATCAGTGTACGCCTCTGGGAAATGGCACTTTGGGCGCCAGAGTGAAGTGCTCTCGTATAGCACACTCAATGCTACCTCTCGAATTCTCTCATCAATAAAAGTTTTTTGTCATGGATCCCCATCTATGTGAAATATATGCCATCACCATCAACACAAGGCAAGAGATGTCTTATCGCTCACTGTCTCCGCTGCAGGGCCAACACGCCGATGGAGAACCAGGTGACGCCCGTGTACCTGGCAGCGCAGGAGGGCCACGTGGCCGTGCTACAACACCTGGTCACCGTGGCCGGAGGAAACCTGCACCTGAGGGCACGCGACGGCATGGCCCCGCTGCACGCCGCGGCGCAGATGGGAGCCCTGGACTGCGTCCGCTGGATGGTGCGTACCACGTCATCTCGGTGTTCCTATTTGTCGCGCGTGATACTTTCCGGCAAGATTGTTCGTGCTTAATCTTTCAGTGTGACAACCCATAGAGTTTCTCAAGATTAACTAGAGTGCACTCTGGCGCTGCGATCATTCAGCGACCATGGGAATGATGGGTAGTACACACATTTGCCTAGTCTTCGTACTTTCGGGTGGCGAATCGTACTTGCGGCTTCATTTATTGCTGTGTTTCGATTTTGTTTTGAAAGAAAGATTCAACCTTTTAAACTTCGTGACCCAATTCGGAAAGGTAATTAAAAATAATAGGGTGGTGAAGCGCAATCGCTGAACATTTGCCGATTTTTGTTTCATGAGAAAAAAGCTTCAAGCCACACGAACACACATGGAGCCAAAAGCAGGCCACAAGTACGAAGCTTAGACAAATGTGTGTACTACCCATCATTCCCATGCTCGCTGAAGCGCCGTGTGTTGCAGCTCCCATAGACACTAGCGCCAGAGCTCCCTCTAGTAAGTATTGTGGGAAACTCTATGTGACAACCGTCTTATCAGTGGTGGAAGGCTCGACAGGGTGCAGGATTGCCTTGTAGAGTTGCAACAGGACATCGGGAGGACCGGGGTAGGTTGAAACTATACAAGGTGCCTGCAGAATGGTTTTATTGTTTCAGGAACGCTGACAAACTCTCGCGGAACATGGTCTTCTGTCAGCTTCCCCACAGGCCACGTGAGGAAGATGGGTCGGAGGTTATTATAGATGTTGATGGCTTTACCCGGCTCGGGAATGAAAGCTACTATAGTGCCGTTGTCGAATCTATGGGGAGGGGTGTGACTCCAATCCAGATAGTCTTGAAGTAATCGAAGAACATATCGTAGGTGGCATCTGGAAGGTTGGCTAGAACCTTTACCGTCACCATCTCCGTGAGGAAGCAAGCGGCTGATCGCAACTGGGAACGCGATCAAAGCTTCGAAGGTAATGGACGTGCTGTTTATCAATTCCGTAGTTCCTAGCAGTGGGTTTCTAAGCCTGATAACAAAGATGTCAAGTTGGAAAGAAAAAAAAAGTGAAATGAGAAAACTGGCACGACTGATACGTGATGAGGCGCTTACTCCTAACAGTGAATTGTCAAACCTGTTCGACCCAATTAAATTTAAATACATTTGTAGCGTTCTAGCAGTTTACTCACCACTCGTTACCTTTTTCTCTCGTTTTTCTTCGATACTGAAAAAGTTGATTGATTGATTGATTGATTGATTGATTGATTGATTTGTGGGGTTTAATGTCCCAAAATTATCATATGGTTATGAGAGACGCCGTAGTGGGGGCTCCGAAAATTTCGACCACCTGGGGTGTAACGTGCACCCAAATCTGAGCACACGGGCCTACAACATTTCCGCCTCCATCGGAGATGCAGCCGCCGCAGCCGGGATTCGATCCCGCGACCTGCGGGTCAGCAGCCGAGTACCTTATTCACTAGACCACCGCAGCGGGGCGATACTGAAAAGTTGCACATTCTTGCAGTCACTACACGGTTCTGGACACTTTTTTGCTTTCTTCTGTAAAACTGCTTCTCCAAACGTCTCTTCCTTCCGTCTGTGTTGAATCCCAGTGTTTTTGTAAGTTTGACGTCCCCAACAAATCGAGATTGGAGAGAGGTGATAAGCTGAAAGCATTTCTAGAAGCATAAAAGCCTTAAAAACCTTTCCTCTCTTTTTTTTCTTTTTTGCCTCCCAGTCAGCCTTAACAATGCACCTTTTTCTGCACGATATTGATCGGATCACTTTAACTATGCGAAAATTATAGCGACGAAATATATTTTCTGGCGTTTGACATAGGTATTTTCGTTTGTTTGATAATCATCTGTCTTATAGATTGACTTTACCTTTTCAAGGATGTTCGAGAAGAGAGCACACGTGAGCGGGAATGCATGAGTGGTAAATGGGGAGAATCAAAGTTATATGGGGAGAATCAAAGTTATTCCCTTCTCCATCACATTTTGCTCACTTTCCTCAAGCGTCCAAGAGTTATTTACAGCGGGGAAGAAAAACCCACTGGTTGGACAGGCCGTGTGGTGCCTAAAGTTTGAGTGAACCGCGTCGAGCGCACTTATTTATTTTCCCGTCGAAACGAGGCGCTGGTATCTTAACAACTACTTAGCATGCAAACCGCGACCGATTCGACGTAAACCGTTCGTTGCGCTGATCCCGCTCCTCTTCGCTACAACCGGGAAGCGTCCGCCGCGAGCCCCACGATAAGCCTGGATAATGCGGCAGTGGCGTCGAGCAATTTCTCTTCTGCCGCGCTTTGCTTATCGGTAAATACCGCTTGTTGTCATCGTAAGTTAAACAAGCGAGCTTGTGTAGCTTATAGCTCCAGCCATGCGCGGATTTATCGTAAGAGCTCGTGGCAACAGCGCGCATATATGATCGCTATAGCTTGTTCTCGCTTTTCAATCCCCATCGCACCAATTAAGCCGGGCAGCGCTGGCGTGCGCTTTGTCGCCTGGCGCCGTTGGAGACTCTAAGCTGCCGTCATGTCCGCGCCATCTCTGAGGCTGTTATATATTTATAGTCTCTCTTTTTGTTTCTTTTTTTTGTGCTCTCTGTGACATCTATTTTCTTTCGTAACGAATCCTTCTCGGTGTTTTGCCATTAAGTCAAGCCAGTTACACAACGTACGGAGTGGTGATTGAAATTTATACTGAAATTTTGGTGCCTGTTAGGGGAAAGGTCTCGGAAACGAGCTCTTTACGCACAGTTTAGCGAACCTCTCGCCGTGTTTCGTCGCAGCGTTACCTGATTTTAGGTAATGTGTACGCCTACTGGAAAACCAGCCTGATACGAAGCTGACTCCAAGTTAGGCTTTGTTTTCTAAATGGCCAGTCTTAAGTGGTCCGTGAAGGCACTGTGATCAAACAGGCTAGTTACATCACAGAATTGAAAAAAAAAGGAAGGGAAGGAGCGTCTGAGTGAGCAGTGGTAGTTTGGAAGAGAATAAAAAAATGGCAGCATATCCATGGGGTGAATGATGGAGAGCGGGGCGAAGCATCCGTCCGTCCATTCATTCTTGCTTCCGTCCATCCATGCGTCCGTCTGTGTGACCGTCCATGCATCCGCCCGTCAGTGCGCGCATCTGTTCGTGCGTCTGCACGTCCATCCGTGCGTCCGCCCCTGCGTCCATCCATGCGTCCATCCGTCCGTGCAGCTGTCCGTGCGTCCGTCCATGCATCTGTCTGTGTGTCCGTTCGTCCATCTAGTCTACACTCCAAGTACCACCTTCTCACATCTTTTCATCATACATTCCGCATATAGAAGCACCGCCATCCAGCGGACATTCCAAGGACTAAACGGGAGCTGGCACACGCACACTTTTTTACGGCTTGCGCTTCGTGTCTACTTCCCACCTTAAACCACCTCGAGTTCAGGGTATACACTAGTTCAGTGTATTCACGGAACTGCAGCCCAACGCTGGCTAAACCTTTCTAAAACCAGGAGGTTACACGCAGCGGGTAAGACGTAGCAACCTTTTCCTGTCAGATAGTTCTCAATGTACTTGCCAATGGCTGCTAATGAGAAATGAGAGACAGGAGAATTCGGCTTTTAGTTAACACGCACGCTGCGATTTTTTTATTGTTCAACAACGCACAGAAGAAATCTCTCACCGGCACCCCCATGGAGGTCAAAATGTAAGACTGGTTACACACTACGACTACTACTACGACTACAAGGGACAAACAGGTGCCGCTATAAGGAGCTTTTTTTTTTCTCTTTGTTTTCTTGAGTGATTCATGATCTGTGAGAATATTGGAAGTGCTGTGTGTTACATCCTGTCTATGTTCTGTTGTTTGTACACGCCACTGAAGCGATTTAGTTACACCAGACAGTTGTACTCACCTTAAATGTTGTTACCAGTTTGCAATAAACTTCCCTGTTTCGCCCCTAAAATAATTCCACGTCGCGTTTCAATCTGCGACGTTCAGTGTGCGTGGTTTGTACGTGTCACATTTTTATCCGGCCGCGGGGTCGTTCTTTCCATTCTTCCTTCTTCTTTTTCTTTCTTTTTTTTTTGCTTTCACAGTATATCTAGCGCAAATAATTTCGCCTTGGGTCTAAGACACAACAAAACATGCAGTCCTCTTTCGGGGACCCAGACTCAGTGAAGTCTTTTGAGACCAGTTCGGAGACACAAGCGGCGAAGTGTGACGGGGCCGGTTAGGGTGACTCGTTTGTCAAGCTTTGTCAAAAGTTGGGTGCAAAACAATGCAGACATATTTCGTTGTCGCACCGCGTACACCTTGATACCTGCTCGCGATATCATCTTGCGGGCGCCGTTCCCGATTTCTTGTCGCCTTGTAACAATGCACACTGCATGGCCGTGCGACAACTTCTCAGCGCACGCCTATATTTCAAAAAGGGCGTCTCGAAAACATTTCGATGCACAGCCATGGGCCACGTAAATTATTTTCCACGCCACCACTTCCAGTTACCATGCGTTGTAGGGTGCGAGCACGTGATAGATTGTGACGCCTACATTGAAAAGCGAATGTGGCCGACGATAAAAGTCAGTGATAAGTAATTAGTGCAGACAACTGAAAGTTTCCTGACTTTAATCATGCATCAACTGGTCTTGGCCCTCATCATTCGGTTAATTGTGATTAAACGACACTACGACGAGGTCTCGTTCCTTTTCTTTCTTTTCTAGCTTTTTTTTTTCTTTGTCAGCAAACGCATGTAGTCGCTAGCGAGAAAGCTGATATTAGAGAGTTTTAGTACTGCGTACGCTGCGTACGTGGCGGCGTTGCGTACGTAAGGACGCCACGTCCTGCGTAGTGCGCATGCGCAGACCGCAACGCGCACGTATCGCGTTACGTACGTGGCTGCTACGTACGCACGCATGAGATGCGTGCGTGCGTACGTCTGAGGTGATCGCGCCGCTCTCGAACAAGTTCGCGACAGCGCGAGACTTCGTTTTGCAAAATGGCGGCATCGAAGGCAAGCAC